CAGTGTGGAGTTTAATATGGTTGAGTATTGGAATAGGTGAGTAAGGTATCAGTGTGCTGTTGAATATGGCTGAGTGCTAGAATAGGTCAGTAAGGTATCAGTGTGGAGTTTAATATGGTTGAGTATTGGAATAGGTGAGTAAGGTATCAGTGTGACCAAGTACTGGAACAGCTAGAGACCCTGCGACCTGAGTAAGGCCGTGTCCCCACTGTGTTACAGGTGCCCCGGACCCCACGGCAGGAGCCAGTGTAGACGACGAGAACTGCTGGCACCTGGATGAGGAGCAGGTCCAGGAGCAGGTCAAGCTCTTCCTCTCACAAGGAGGGTACCATGGATCGGGCAAGCAGCTCAACCTCCTTTTTGCCAAGGTAGCCCCCTCTGCCCCCGACTCCAATATTGTGCAGTTCCTCATTAATTCATTTGATGAAATCCTGGGAGACTTGCATGCTCAGGAGTAAGACTCTTAACACAGACATGAAATATTATTTACCTTTCATTATTTCTATAAACAAGATACTTCTCACTTCCTTTAGTGAGTCTATGAATATGGGCTACGTCAGGGAAAATCATAAGCCAAGTTGTTTTTGGGTAAAGTCTGTGCACATAATATTACCTGTGGGGGCTGTCTGCTCTCCTCATCCCTCTTATTTATTTATTAATTTATTTACTTACTTACTCCTTTTGCCAACAGGGAAAGGAGACTCATATTTTACAGTCATGACTGTCGGTGTTGTTAGACTTGAGAGCATTAGAAACAGAATTGAAGTTTATGGAGTCAGCATGCACCCCCCCCCTATATAATATACAGTAGGACCTCGGTTCTCGAACTTAATCCGTTCCAGACTCCGGATCGAATTCTAAAAAGTTTGAGTTCTGATCGAATTTTTCCCATAAGAAATAATGGAAAATCAATTAATTGGTTCCCGGCCCCCCAAAATTACACCTAAATATGTTTTTTTTTTTTTTAGCATTTAAACACAAAATGAACAGGATAAAACAAGAAGAGCATTTTTTTCTTAATGGCTTCCAAAACGATAAAGATCTTATCCCAACATTACCCCTGTCCTGCCCCGATCGTCCGCTCCTTCCGTGTGCCACGCCCCCTCATTAACCTCGTGTGGGATCCCCATGTGATCAGCTGTTTCTGGTTGTTGTCATTAGTCCTCTGTATTAAGTCCGCGTTTCAGTTTGTTTCCCCAGTCCGGTCATTGGGTGCGTTCGACTTGCTTACAGCGCTGGCTTAAAGCAACGCATTCTGATCCTGACGCAATGCATTACAGTTAGATGCATTGCGACCTCTCACACGGCTACACAAACTGGAACCGCCTCCGTGACGACACACCTTTGCCCTTATTGCCTGAAGAGTTTAGTTACACGCATGACGTTTGTATCCCAGGCAGTTCTGATGCGTAATCTGCTATGTCTCCCGAATATCACGTAAAGCAGTGAGAACTGGTTTTCAGTTAATTTACCTGGTAACATAAAGTTTAAATAAATGACATAAATGCTCTAATAGTACACGTAAGTTAGTGGTTTATTTATTGTTAGTTACTGTAATGTTGCGCTGCTTTATTTGGTTAATCGTCCACTCTGTGAAGAAGGCATTCAAGTAAGAATTGCAGTGTAGTATGACTCATTTCCTGGCGCGTACAATTTCAGCGTTCACGGTTCGACTTCCAATATTCAGATCAAGTTCTAGGTCAAACTGGCTTGTTCGACTTTCAAGAAACTTGAGTTCTAGTGAGTTTGAGAACCAAGGTACCACTGTGTGTGTGTGTGTATGTGTGTGTGTGTGTGTGTGTGTGTGTGTGTGTGTGTGTGTAGCACGTCGCTAATGTCTTTGTGCACTTGTCGAGCCGGATGGGGTCTGCTTTGCCCGTTCCTTGGGTTGTTATGGTCCTCACGCCTTACCTCCGTTGCCCCGTTTCATTTTCGTTTCTCAGTGAAACGTAAACTGGACATTTAGCAACTGTACACGTTGTTTTTGCCACAATGTGTAGCGTTTGTGAAATGAGGTGAGGTGGGCTGGTGGCCCGTCCAGGACCTGCAGACATCCTGCACTGTAACTCTCTGCCGCCTGATTTGCTCTCGGGCTCCATTCTTCCTCCTCATCTGGAAGATCTAATGGGCAGTATGAATGTTGGGATGTTGAGTGTGGCAGAGTATCTCTTAAGTTCCTGATTTGTGCTGTTAGGCGTGCCGCCCCTAACCCCACCCTTTCCGCCCCGCAGGTTCGGGAGATGCTGAAGATGCGTGACTCCAACGGCGCGCGCATGTTGACCCTCATCACGGAGCAGTTCATGGCTGACCCCCGGCTCTCCTTATGGAGGCAGCAGGGCACCATCATGACTGACAAGTACCGGCAGCTCTGGGACGAGCTCGGTGAGAGGCACCGCCACACCGCATGACCCCGTTCGGTCCGCCGGCGGCCGCCTGACCCCGGCTGCCCGCGGTCATATGGCCGTCTGATCTGCGTTGGACGGTTCCGTCAGCGCCGGGTCATGTTCAGTCTCAGGCCGGGCGTGTACGTCGTAAAGAGTGACCGGGTGCATGCGTACACCTGTGTGTATGTACTGGGGTCCTCTCATAGCTACACCCCCACCTCCTCACCCCAGTCTATGGTCCTTTTATTAGCCCCAGAGGCTGGGCGGCCCTTACAGCGGCTGTCCTTCTATAAAGCTTTACTGCCTCTGTAATGCAAAATGATTGCCCAGGCACTCCCAGATTATCAAGGGGGAGGGGGGCTGGGTAGGGGAAAGCGGGAGGAGGTGGGGGAGGGAGGAGTCGTCCTCAACCTCCAGGTTGGAGACGGGCAAGCAGCCCGTGGTTGAGGGAGTGACTTTGCCTCATGCTGGCCTTTCCTCTGCGCCGTGTCAGGGGTGAAGCTCCTCCTTTAATCCATCTCTCTGCCTCAGTAATGTAGCTTATTTATTCTGTTTCGGGTCTTGTGTTGAGGGGTGGGGCCAAAATATTAAAGAAGGATGGATATCTCGTTGTCCGTCAGGAAGATTGCAGGTACGAACGGGAAGATGGTGGTGGTGTAGCAGTGTATTAGCAGTGTCCCTCTATCTCTCCCCAACCCTTTTTATTTTTACCTGATTTGTTTCTGCCCCCCCGCCCCCACCGCAGTGGTCGGCCGTTATCTCTGTGCCGCAATTGCAGCCCCCGTCGAAGGTTGAAGGCTTTCTGTTATTTGCGGTTTTGAGGTTAATTGTAGTCACAAGGATGGATGGAACCACGTTAGCTTGCCGTCGCTGCTGCTGTTGTTGTTGCCGTCCCGCCTGCTGCTCATTTGTCTGTTTTTTCTCTTTTTAATTCGGTTTTGTTTCTAGAGACATTCATTGCCGATGTTTTTGAATACCTTTAACCAATGTTTTTGCAAAGGGCCTTTTTCTTGCTAATTTTTTCCTTTCTGAGAAAGAATCAGCGCAAAGCACGGTGACTGAGGCTGAAACTAGACGTGTTGACGTCTGATTTTCTTCCGAGCCCTTACGAACCGAGAGACCATGTAGACAGTGAGTGTTAAGGGGGACCCATCTGTATTGGGCACTGAGAGCAGGCGATTCATAAGGAGCAGGCATGTAAATAAACACAAAGAAGCACAAAACCAGAGTCATTTCTCAACAGAAAACGATCTGGAGTCACATTTATTTGTGGGTAACCTTTCATTACCTTTCATTTTCCTCTCGTTGGTAAAGATGCCAAAGACATTTACCATAATGGCATTATTCAATACATTTTACTATAAGAAACGCTTGACTTCAATTTTGTCTAAGGTCATTATTTATAAGGAGATCTTATTTCGGTTTGAATGAGACTCACAAGGAACCTTTACAAATCATAACAAAACACACATTCATTATTTTGTGATATGAGCGTTTAAGATGGTCGTATTTTACTTAAGTAATTTAGCTGTTTCTGGCGTCCTGTCCTGCGTTTATGCATTTTCTGCCCTTTTCCTGTTTTTTCTTTATGATATACAGCTTGTCTTTCTCATAATGTCCACTTCATATTTTGGGACAAGCACATCAGAAAGAGTGGTATCAAATTTTATTACGATACCCTTCTAATATATAGTCAGCCACTGTCCCTTAAAAATGGATTATCTGTTTGCACTCTAACTCTGATACACTAACTGCATGGCTTTCTGAGCCTGTGATAATGTTTGCTGCTGGAGGAAGTGGGTGTTGTCAGTTAGGGGGGTGTCAATATTATGTGGACATGTTTGTCAACCAGGTGGGGGCTTCTGAGACCATCACTGGGGTGTTTTGGGAAGGAATCTGACACGGGGAAACTGGGGAACTGTTTGCTGAGCTCGGATGTAATTGAGCATTATCCCAAACGCTTAAAGGAATTTCAGGCTCCAGTGAGATGCTTAATGTTTGTTTGTGAGCAGTGGTAAGTGACTTCACGTTCGTTTAGCGTGGGGGTGGGTGCACGTTTGTTTAATATGTCTCTGAATGTCTTTGTTCTTCAAAAGGGACACAGTGGGTCACATTTTTTACTGCTGGTTTTGACATTCAGTGGCCAATAACCCATGAGCAGAAGGATACCAGCATGTTTTCTTACCTCACCTTACATCACTCGTACTGACTGCCCTTAGACTGTATTTTTTATATATCCAGAGGTGCCTTTTTCTAGAGAAATGGGGTGGGGGGACCAGGATAAGAGATTTATTGTTTTGCTTTCTGGTGAATGGGAAAGTGCCTTTGTTGGGCAATCAAAATTTTCCCCTCCCATATGATGATTTGTTTTGTCTTTCTGCTATCAGATATATTTGTGTACATATATAAAAAAAAAAGGAATATGCGCTGGGGGTCAGTTTGGAGACCTTGAAAGGCTGGCCCCGCCCCTCACTGGGGGGATTAGGGTAACAAACCAATAGCGAGGTACCCTGTATGCTCATTTGTCTGCATTAAAGTAGCCGTGCTTATTTGAGCTGTCAGCTAGCCTATTTCCCCATCTCTCGTCCAAAATAATGAGGCCGGGATCTCCGAATGCAGCTTCGCTGGAGCTTAACGGGGTCCGTCTGTCTGTCCGTCCGTGCCCGCGTGTCTGAAATCCCCTTTCATAAATTTAACCAGTTTAAATTTAAAGCGTCCCGCACCCCATGCCAAAGTTTCCTGTCTCGGCAGCCAGCGAGATATTTACAGTCCCGTGGATCTGAAAATTCCGCAGCTTGGAATAATAGGGGCTGTAAAGGAGGTGGGGACGCTGGACGTCCTCATGAATCTGGTGGTGAGGGAGCGGGGCGGCGTTTCATAACGGACGCGTGGGCTGCACGTCTGCGGGCAGGTGGCCGCGACGCTACACTTGGCAGCACCTTTCCGAACGTGGGTGCCCACATCAGCCCGGGAGAGGATTCTGGGAAGGGAGGAATGAGGACGAGTGAGAGTGCTGCAGACTTGTCCGGCCTGGAGCCTCCTGTGTTTTGCATTATGTGTGTTTACTGCGGTCCTTCTGCTACTCGCTCATTACTCTGCCCCACTGTTATCATCAGGCTCATCAAAAGGGTTTTGCTTGTCGGTGCAAAGCCTGTCGTTAAAAGCTGAGCACACCGCCCTCACTGCCTGGCTACCTTTCCGCAGGATAGCATTGTAATGTGTGTGTGTGTGTGTGTGTGTGTGTGTGTGTCCTCCTCAGGCGCCCTGTGGATGTGCATAGTCCTCAACCCGCACAGCAAGCCGGAGCAGAAGGCCTGCTGGCTTAGGCAGCTCAAGAAGTGGAACAGTGTGGACGTGTGCCCCTGGGAGGACGGTAACCATGGAAACGAGCTGCCCAATTTAACCAACTCCTTGCCTCAGGGCCCCCATGCAAACCAAGGTAAAAAAAACCAGTCCGGCATGCGAAACCAGTCCTGTAATCAAGAAAGTAGTCAGCCGAGCATGTGAAATGAACTCTCTCCTTCACCCCCCCCGCCCCTCCCCCCTGTGCGCCATGTTAATGAGCACTGGTGCGGCTAATGGTTTTACATAATTTATTTGACACTCTTATCCAGTTACCCGGTTTACAGTTTCATGTCTTCTGTAGACTGCAGGTTTTTTTTTTTTGCCTTAGCGCGGGCGGCCCTAGTGCTTTTTTTTGCTCAGGGGTGGATGGCATGACCGCCCCCCCCCCCAGTTCTGGGGTAGGAGGGACTCGTTATAGCCCCACCCACAAGCTTTCAGAACGACATGCAGTGTGCATCCAACTTAAAAATACTTTTCCCTGGACAACAGCTTAGCTTTGTGTGTGTGTGTGTGTGTGTTACATGAAAAGGTGTAGTTATGTCAAGTCAGGAGAGGGAGGGGCTCTTGTTTCACTAGACTGGTGGCCTGTGGTGGGGGCGTGGGGGTGGAGAAAGGCACTTTGCATGCGCGCTGTGATGGCGCTTGCTTGGTTGTAGCATTGGTTGTCCCCCATTTGGGGACAAGAAGCCTTGGGTGTCTTTGAATGACAAAACGCCTGCCTTTGTGCCAGCAGAACAGGGGGGCGTGGGGGGGCAGGCTGGGAAAGTGCCTCCGGATGACTCAAATGTTGCATTCCAGCTGTTTTTAGCTGGGAGGGTGCCAAGCTGTTGCTGCTGCTGTAGCTTGACTTGGCCTGGGCGCACCCCAACCCCCCCCCCCCTGTCTACTGCCTATACAGATATGTTTCTGTCTGCCAGTGCAGCTGAAGTTGCTGAAGTGAAGTTAGGCAAACTTTAGCTTTATTGGCAGTCAGGAATATAAAATGGTGAGTGAGGGGTTATCTGGAGGTGTGTGTCTGTCTCTGTGTGCGTGCGTGCGTGCGTGCGTGTTTGTGTGTGTGTCCGTGCCTTCCTGCAGCCCCAACCCACCAAATCCTCCCTTGCTCCCAGATTTAGCCAACAGACCCCACCGGACGGTTTTCACCCGGGCCATCGAAGCGTGCGACCTCCACTGGCAGGACAGCCACTTGCAGCACATCATCAGCAGCGACCTCTACACCAACTACTGTTACCATGACGACACTGAAAGCTCTCTCTTTGACTCGCGCGGCTGGCCGATGTGGCACGGTAAGCGGCGGCGGAAGCGGAGGGCCCGCGTGACTCGCCTCTTTGTCTCACCCTGCCTCGATCTGTGGCATGTTATTTCAAAACAAGAGAATTAAGAAAGATGCCTCATAGAGGGCTGAACTTCCCCTTTGTGGGGGCGGCGGGGGTGGCTGGCTTTTAAAGGGACTGAAAGGCCCTGGCCAATGGGAACAGGGCCCCCATTGAACTGCGGCAACTCACTGACAGTTTTTGTCCCCACAAAAGAGAGAATTGCTCCTTGTGTTGGCTGACTCCCCATTGTGCATCTCTCTCCCTCCCTCTCGCCCCCCTCCTCCCTCCCCAACAGAGCACGTCCCCACGGCCTGTGCTCGCGTGGATGCCCTGCGCTCCCACGGCTACCCCCGGGAGGCACTGCGGCTGGCCATCGCCATCGTCAACACGCTGCGCCGGCAGCAGCAGAGGCAGCTGGAGCTTTTCCGGCAGCACAAGAAAGGTGTGGGGGCCGCAGCTCACCGAATCGGGGGGGGGGGCCTCTCCTGGCCGGCTCCTTTCACGCAGGGTCACCTTCACACCTGTCATTTTTGCATCCTAATTCATCCATTCAATAAGCTCTCGGACAGTTATCGTCATGGAAACCCGGAGTCGGTTCAAGGGCAACATAGAATATGGGCGTGTGAGGTGTGGCGTGCCCGGGCAGTGTGGGGGTGAGGCGGGGTGAGACTATAGCACAGCACTCCACATCAGCACGTTCACATGGTCGGTCGCACACTAAGGGGACTCCACTCACTCCTCGCGGGGACCTGCATGACTTTTGACTGAGCATTCAGGCACAGCTGTCTTGAAACTTGAGATCCCGCACGCTGATGCCCCCCCCATTACAGTCCCCCGTTGCGTTGGGTGCTTTTTCCCCGGCCAGTCTCACACAACCTGCACTATACAGGACAAACCGTAAACTACAGATTTGAACTGCTAATTAAAGACCATCAAGGAACATTCATTTTACAATTACTAATCCTGCAGATTTATTAAAGCAGTGTAAGTGTCGGCGGGCCAAGGCTGCCCCGGGCCTCAGGACTTTCCATAAATCTCACCTTTATGAGGGAACCGGACTTTCTGAGCGGAGCAGTAAGCTAGCAAAGCGCGCGCGGCCTGCGCTTCCGAGACGGCGTGTCACATGACTCTCCATCTCCAGTTGTCTCTGGTGCTTTAGCGTCCGTAATACCAGCAGAGAGTAAGCAGGAAGGTCGTTGTATGCACCATCTCTCGCCTGTACACTAAAAGTTTATGCTGGTTTTTACGAGCCGGAGCGCGGCGTGCCGCAGCTTTAATGTCAGCATGGTTTTCTGTAGAAGCGATTTGTTCATTGCTGAAAGCCGGGTAATCACTCAACGCAAGTGATATTCTTCCCACTCTGACACACACTCAGCATTAAAATATGCACACATCTTGTCATGACAGTATTTGACTACAGTCCCTGACCATCAGATAGTAGTGAAGAGAATTCTCTCCCGATAATGGCCTACATTAGTTCAGGTATCACTGTCAGTACTGTAGCACTGGTCTCTCTACCGCCACCTTTAGGTCTGTGTTTAGTACTACACTACCAGGCCCTGCTAATGGTACTTCAGCTGCTGGTCCCGCCTCTACCTTGTGATGCTCTCAGTGCTGACATGGCTAAGAATTAGCAAGTAAAGTGTCCCTTCTCTGTCACTCCAGAGCTACTGCACAAAGGTGTCACCTCCATCACGAACACTGAGGGCTGGGTGGGCCACCCACTGGACCCCATCGGGACCCTCTTCAGCACGCTGACGGAGACGGAGACGGTCTGGGCCGCCGACGACGGCTCTTCGGGGTTCCTGGACCTCTCAGGTAGTCACCTCCGTCCCGCGGGCCTTGTCCTCCTCGTTCTCGTTGTCCTGTTGGGGCGGGGCTTTGTGGGATCTCATTTAGCTCACAGTTGGGTGAGTTTAACTGGATATCTTTAGTCAAATGTCTGACTATATGACTGAGTCAGGTTTTGATGAGTTAATTATTATTTTTTTTAAATGATACAGTGGAACTTTATCCTGCAATATGCTTTTAACGGTGTCGTACCAGTAGTAACTTCAGCTTTCTGTGTTTACGCTTAACAAGCATACAGTAGTCAGACCTGAACTGTGCCTGTAACATTTCACTTTCCAGTCTGGGCTCCTGACACGATTACCTGTCTCTCTGCCGGTTTGACTTGTCTGAGGATTTCCTCTTACCCCGAGAGTAACGAGTGTCGCTGTCATCAGAAACACCCATTTCCCTCCTTTTTTTTGGAAAGTAAAATGTATCTCTGTGAGCGTCAGGCCACTGGGAGCATCCCGCACTTGATTAGACGTGTGCGAGCGGCGGCAGCTGGGGAGGGAAATGCGGTAAAGGGAAAAAGAAGTCAATAGGTTTCAGCAAAGGGAGGGGGGGGGCTGGACTAAATCTTGTCTTCTGCATTTTTAATGCCTTTTTATTTTTAATGTTTTTGTTCCTATCTCTTATTCATGAGGTGTGATTGGAGATATGACTGTCACAATTGGCGGGCTGGAGTGTAATTAGTTAGTACAAGAGCCTTCGGGGGATTCCAGCTTTCGCTCCCCACTGATTGGCACTGCCAGGCAGATGCTGGTGGGCTGTTTGCTGTCACCGCCCCCGCCCCCCCCCCTAGCTCCCAACTCCCAGCTTAGCTAAGGCCTATCAGTGTCTCCAGAGTTCCTGGCCGGCTGGAGCTTGTGATCGGGATACGGCTTCCCCACTGGAGGCTGCCGGACATTAAGGGGGGGGGGGGCTCCCTCCCCAGTGTCCCCCCCTGTGATTATGTGATGAGGAGGGGGTACCTGTGTACGGTCCCTTCCAAAGACTGCGCCTGTGTCCTCTGTGGCGTTTCTGTGCTGTGGCAATGTGGCCATTTTTGGATCCCCCTCCCCCCCGACTCCCGTGGGCCCTGTTTGGGGTGGGGGGGGGGAGGTTCCCATTTATCCTTCACTATTGAATGTTTTCTTGTCCTAATGAGGCTTCCTTTAATTTATTATTCATCCGGGCCGTTGTGAGTTACAGTGTTCCGATGTGCAGCCTGCCGGGCCAAATCCCACGAGGGAGGTGTTGGAGAGGCATAGGGGGTGCAGCTTCCCCCACCCCCCCCCACCCCTCCCAGTTCCCAGCTGACATGTTAATGAGCTCTGCACTGACAGTTGAATATGATTGATACAGGGCAGAGCCTCACGTTTCTGCTGCGGCTTTGCGGTTCAGGCAGTCTGTCTGGGAGGGGCCCGCTGAGGAACGGGGGTGCGTAGCTGAGGGCGTGAAGCCTGGAAGCCAGACTACAGCCTCTGGCGGTGTTCAGGTCTGCGGACTGTTTAGTCTGGCGTCCTTCATGCGTGCGCACACGCACACTCGTTACACACATAGACACGTAAGCGTGCAGCACGGACATGCTTCTGTACATACCGCGGATGCCTCGCACGGCACACACCCTGCATTTACACGTGTGCCCAGTCCCTTCTGCGGCAACAAGCACCCTCGCCATTCAGCGCACTCTCCGGTCGCACACAGACATCGGGCGTGCCCTGTCACATGAAGCTACCCCTGCCGGCGGGGACATGTCCCCGCCCACACAGGCCCTGCCCACACAGGCCCCGCCCACACAGGCCCCCCCCCCACACACAGGCCCCGCTCTGAGGCCCTGACCACGCATCCTTGCTGACCCCTTTTTAATATGTACTTGTGACCATTCTGGATTTTTTCCTCAGTTGCTGCCTTTCCTGGCATGTTGATTGCGTTATTTCTCATGTATGGCTGGAACGAATGAAAATACAGCCCCACCGTAATTATAATTGGTTTGCTGTAATTCTTTTAGACGTCGTATATCTTGCATGTTAGTATGTCAGGCTGGCTTTCAGCTCGTTGGGTCCCATTGAGGATCCCAGTGGTTCCTCATTATCTGCTCCTTCAGCCTAAGTAAGTCCAGATTGCTGGGGCGGGCTGGCCTCGTCTTGCCTCATCTCGCCCCGCCTCCTCTCGCCCTGCCTCATCTCGCCCCGCCTCCTCTCGCCCTGCCTCGTCTTGCCTTGCCTCGCCCCGCCTCCTCTCGCCTTGCCTCGCCCCGCCCCACCTGGTCTCGCCTTGCCTCGCCCCGCCTCCTCTTGCCCCGCCTCGTCTCACCTTGCCTCGCCCCGCCTCCTCTTGCCCCGCCTCGTCTCACCTTGCCTCGCCCCGCCTCCTCTTGCCCCGCCTCGTCTCGCCTTGCCTCGCCCCGCCTCCTCTCGTCTTGCCTTGCCTCACCTCGACCCGCCTCGGTTTATCTGACGTTCTGCGAAAGGTTTCAAAGCCGTATGTCCAAGGTATGGAATCAGGGCGGGGGAGTGTTCAGATCCACCAGCTCAATCTCCTTTTCTGCCCCCCTCCTGCCTGCTTGCAGTGCCAGACCTGACAGAGCAGCCGTCTAGATGCAGAAACCCCCGCCCGCACCCCTGCGCGTACCTGCCTGTCCCACCCCGCATTGCGGAGGTCTGTGCCAGGGACCACACTTCCGGCTCCGGGCCTTGCTACCCTTCCAGGTTCCCCTGGTCTTGGTCCCGGTCCCGGGACCTCGAGCCTGGCCGGGCTTCAGAAGCTCGGTCTCCCCACGATGTGTCCCTGGCCGGGAGAAGAGAAGGGCTCTGTCCCCCCCACCCACTGGGAACTCTCCACCTGTCGGCCCCTGGGTCTTAGACAAATGTCACAGAAATTAGTGAGGCGGACTGCTGTCATTGGTACATTCAGTAGTGGGGCAGCGACCGCAGAAAGCTGCCGCCTCCGGTCACCAGGGTCCGGAATGTCAACCAGACTCACACGCACTCCGCCCCCTCTACCCGGCAGACTCCGGGGGCCCGGCGAAGTGCTCGGACCCGCAGCCATGTCAGCCGGCACGGCTGCTGGAGGACGGCGAGTCGTACCTGGCGCTGGCGGTGGAGATGGCGCTGCTGGGCCTGGGCCAGCAGAGGAGCATGCCGGACGGCCTCTACGCCCAGGAGAAGCTCTGTCGCAACGAGGAGCAGCTCATCTCGCGCCTCCAGGAGGTGGAACTCAACGACTCGCTCATCAAGATCTTCCGCAAGCAGGCCGTCTTCCTGCTGGAAGGTGAGGCTCCGGATCGGCACCGCACACCTGCAGTGACGATTGGCTAGGAATGAGCTTCTGTGCAGGCTGGGTCCGTCTGCGCAAAGCAGACATCAGTGCTGTAATTATCACTCCCGCCTGAGGGGCGCAGGGGTCATCTCCGGGTCACATGATCGTCCTGCTTGGTCACGTCAGGTGAATGTGCCTGTGACGTGCGTTCACTCGCATCGGAGGCGTGTCGCACTGGTGACCATACGGATGTGTGACTGCACTAGGGAGTGTGAGATCTGTCACGTTTAATGGGATGATATCGATAAAACCAAAAACATTTAAAAAAAATGTAAAAATAAGGGGCAATTGGTTGGACGTTGTAATGTTTGTTCATATTTTGGAGGGAAAAATTGTTTAATAATTACTTTAATTGGGTTTTATTTAGTTATAATTTTACAGTTGTTAAAAAAATACCCATGAATGACCCGCGATGGCTGCTTGTTCTGTCATAATGATGGCATTTGGACTCTTTTAGCTGGAGACTCCCCTGGCTCTCAGTCATCCCCGGAGCCAGAAACGTCACGTATCGGGCTCCTCGTTTTTAGAATGATAATAGTGGCCTGTAGTGGATCAGGCTGGAATGAAGCTGATTGAGGTCTAACAGCTTCTCCATTACGGGAGAGTAGAACTGGGGCGGCGTTTTCCAGCCCGCCAGCCCAGAGGACCACCCACCTGCGGGTCACCAGATAATGAGGTTCCCATGCTCGGCCCGGGGGGTGGACCCGACCGAGGCCGGGGTGCTGGGGCCTCCCGCGTCTGATGTGGGCTGTGGTCAGGGGCCAGTGCAGCCAAAAATAAACTCATTATGGAAGGGGGGAATCTGAGCCCACACATATGGCTTTTATAGGATGATAGCTTATTTTCTGTGCAACCGTAAAAAAAAATAATATATATATATGTGTGTGTGTGTGTGTGTGTGTGTATGTATGTATGTATGTATGTGTATATATATATATATGTGTGTATATATATATATATATATATATATGTATGTATGTGTGTGTATAT